TTTTTTTGTGAGAAATGAATTCCTCTTTGCATTCATTTTTCATTGAATTTGTATTTTTTCAATAAATGTTTGCATCAAAAGAGGAAAATAATCGATTAAATAAGACATTGAATTGAATTGAAAATGTAATTACAAGACATGCAATCAATTTGTATCTCATGGAGGGGTAGGGCTTAATGGGGGCACAGGAGGCATACGGTATGAACACATAGATTGCATTTATATATAAATTGCAACATTCAATGACACGATAATAAATAAATTTTAATTTTAAATTTAATTTCCAAATAAAACGATACACTCAATGATATACAGCACTGAAATATTATGGCTATAAAAATATATACAGGTATAAGAATTTTACGTATAAAATCTTAATTTAATAAATTGTATACAAAAATAACTCAACATTAATTTAATGCTCAGAAAAAACTATAAAATGCGATAAAATTATAATTTCTGATATAATTAACGGAAAAATAACAAAATTTAACAAATTATATCATAATATAATTACTGCACAGAAAACAAAAACCAGTGATTCAAGTGTTTTGGAGGAAAAAAACAATTCATAAATGTTTATCAAAAAATTCAAGGATAGGACTGAAGGGACAAAAGCGAGACATGAAATCATATGAAAGTTATTGTTTGTGTCAAAAGAGTTGTAAATAATATTTGAATCGCGAAATCAATACAACATATATATTGGGTATACCTTTGAGACGATCACTCTATCCCTGCGCTGTTTGATGCGGAAACCCCAGGGGGGCCCACCTTTGAGCGTGAAATTGAGCATGTGCACCTCAACACACACCTCGTGGTGGCCAACATTATGGTCCATCGATTTGGTCAGCATTGGATCAGTTGGGCTACGAATCCGTGTTGTCTTTTAGCCCAAACATTTCAGCCGCCAAAATGTGTGCATTCAATGCATTCATTGCCAATACTGTACTCTTTATTGATGTGATGAACAACACTCTCACACACTATACCAGCTGTGAGTCTACTTATGAAACACTGGCACACAATGCTCTGCCCGACCCCTTCCCTGTCCCACAACTCGGGCCAATGCACACACAAATGGACACTAATTACGGGTCACTTCTGTAATTTGCAACACATTTTTGGGACCAATTTTTTTCGCACAATATTTTCACAACACTTTCAAAATAACTGTCAGTTTGAGCGTTGAATTACGCGTTCAGACCTCTAGTCATTCAACGCAACTCAGCCTCACATCTGTCCCTCCCATCCCTCTGTCAACACACATGGGCTGACATTCACACCACTGTATAGTCAATAACGTGTCAATAATATGCCATATCTTCCCAACCCTTGCCATACAATGTCTATACAAGTAGTGATGCATTTGCGAGACGTTATTGCCGTCACATTAGTGTCCCGTCTCTACAGCGAAGCCAACTCTCAATAATATAAACAAATAGTTTTTGAATGACTTTTAATTGAATTTATTTTTGAGTTTTTGGATTCAAAACAAATCGATTTGTATTTCTGGCCTCAAAACGAGTGAATCATTGGTTTTGATGATATTTATTGAGTGAAGAGTTGTGTAGAGAAAAGCGATTCAAATATAGTGTGCAAAATGTTGTCTAAAAGAGTATTTCAGTCATTGTTTGTGAAACACAATCAATATTTCATAAAAACGCAAACAATTACTAAATTGAATAAAATTGAGGTAAATATTGTCCACAATTGAGTGGCTTTTGATTTGTATATAACTGTAAATATGAAACATATTTGTCATTAAAATAATGCAAAACATATTGATTACAATGAATAGCAATTGAAGTGAATCTATGATTACTATCGATGACTATATAGTAGTGAACTGTTTGTCAATAAAAGTAATTTCTAATTGAATTGTCATTTAATGGTTGTATAGATCCGTCGCTTCTGTGATGTGAGCACCGATTCAATCGATAATAAGATATTATTTCAGTTTAAAAATGGATTTTTTAACTTTGATTTGAATCAAAACCATTACATAATCTCGTATTGGACACCATTGCGGACACTGATCCAAACGATGGACTACACCACAGAAGTGCCCAAACAGATGACCAAAGTGGTGGACGAGAGCCAGAAAGTGGCCTATTCTGCCACCACTCCCGTGGGCTTTGTCTTCTCCAATCTGACCAACCTATCCTTCAAACACCCGACCCTTGGTTTGTGTCAAATCTATTTGGACGGCACTAACGACGAGCTGATCCATTGGAAAGACAAACTCGAATCCGAATTACAATACGGCTCCGACTCATCCCATCCCAGAGAGAAGTCTCTCGAAGACCACGAGCTGTCGGTATGTGCGCCGGCTTTTTCTATTCTGTCATTTGTGGCTATAATTGTGTCATTTGTCTAATGATTTATTTACTAAACAGTTTTTAGAGCACCAGAAGAATAGTATGAAACTAGTGTTTAATCCACTGCTGAAGGAATACCAATCGATGATATCATTGGCGCGAACGGACGCCAACCGCAAGTTTAAATGGGGCGGACTTTTCCTGCTGTCGGCCCAACTCGGGTTTGTGGCCCGACTCACATGGTTTGAGTACTCATGGGATATCATGGAACCGATCACTTGGATGTTGACCTATGCAATGATGGTCGGGTATGTACTCTCCTGTCTCTTTCACATGTCTTATCTCATGCCATCATTTTTTAGTTGAACACGTTTTTACTATAATTACAGTCATTATAATCATAACATAACACCCACTCGAGTAGTATTATAATCATTAACATATTATAAACATTTGCTTACATTTGCTTATCTCTATCATAGAAATGCTACCAAAATCTAATGCAAACAAATATTTCCAAATAAGTTTGACAATTATTTATATAATTTGCTATTTTTATAGTTATTTTTGTCTAACAATTACTTGATTATTGTTGGTTTTGTGTTTGCAATGGTTTGAGAAAATGTTAATCATTATATAAATCAAATGTTTTGTGGGAATAAATTGTTTTATTGTTTGTTCATTAAAATAAAACACATAATAAGAGTCCATAAAAATATAAATTATAGTATTTAAATGTTATGCCCACTGAAAATATATTTATCACAATGTTTTAAATCTGATTCTCAGTCGTTATAAATTATTAAACATTACTTATTTATAGTTTAATATATTTAATTTTTGTTGTTATTTAATGTTTTTAAAATTGGAGAAAATTATTACCGTTAGTGAATTTTGGTAGAAATCAAATAATTTTCGTATGATTTATAATTAAGACATAAAATTAATTACTTTTATGCAAATTATATAATTTGTAGAATAATTTATAGCATATTCTCATTTTTCAGTTAATTTATTCAAATGTGTAATTGTAATGAAAATACACGAAAAGATCATTGAAATGATTAATATGTTTTGTATGTCATATTCCCTCCTAATTGCCCTTTTATGACAAATATTCTGACAATAATTTTGTTTTTAATTGCAATTTATTTATTTATTACTCATTTGCCTCATAATAGTCTTAATTAGCGAACATTTAAAATATATTTTAGATTTTGATTGTTTATTGATTTTAATGAAATTTAAATAAATTTCAATATTTGTTAATTATTGACAATATTTTTAATGTTATATTAATGCTATTTTTGGACAAAGTTTTTGCTTATTTAAGATATTTACGGTAATAAATAATAGGAATGTATTGTTGTAATGATTTAAATGGTTTAACAGACCATTGAAATGCGAATTAACATTTAATGTGAATGTTTGTAATATTAATGCTTGAATTTGACGTACAATTACAGAACGTTTGCCTATTATATCGTCACATCTCAAGAATATTTGGTACCATCTGTTGAGAGGAGACTAACGATTAATAAATTCTGGAAATTAGCCCAAAAGCAGAACTTCGATGTGACACAATTCAGGGCTTTGAGGCAACAAATCAAACAATTGGATGAAAAGATACTCCGACTCAAGACTTTGAATTGAATTTGTGTCGTTTTTTGGTTCAATTTATGCCCAAATGTAATGAGACTTAAATTTTAGTCAAATAATTATTTCATTTGATAGTCATATTCACGAATTACTCTTACTTAAGCACAGAATCTAGTTATGAGATCATTTAGAGTCCGATAAACACTCACAACGGGACTCGTCAGTCATTATATACTTTATACACATTTGATGTGATTTCTATAATCTATACCAAAACTCGTTTTGTCGGAAAACTTAACTGTTTAGTTTTTATTAAAACTATTTTATTTATGAGGATTTTGTTTAATTTATTATAGTGTTACTTTAAATATATATTATTTCTGTTCATTTTTAAAATTCTAACATTATATTAATTTTAAATAGTTTTATGTTTGTTTTAAGTAAATAAATATTTATTTTCATTGTTTGTGTGTTAATGATTTAAGTCAACCTCTCATTGAGTTTAATTGTATCACAAAAGTTACAAAATTATCATTTAATATATTATTTTTGCAATTTTTTAAAAATCTATTCCTATAAATATATTGCTGTTAATTGATTCACACAATTGTATTTCAATTCTAAAATATTTGTTATTTAATATATAAATAATTTGTTCACAATATCATTATAACCGATATTTGTAAAACTATTTACTATTGATTTATTTCATAAAATTTATGTTTATTTTAAAAATATATTATTAATCATAAAATGTAATGTAACAATCGAAATAATAACGCCTGAAATATAGTATAATTTTTTGGTATCAAATATTTTCATTTTAAGTTCAATAAAAAGTTCAGCAAATAAAGCCTTCAATGATTTTGGCGACAATAATAGCCCAAAGAAATGCATTTCTCGCAGAGATGTTGCGGATGTTCTTTGCTTTGGTCGCTGACGTCCAGACCATCCGGTTTGTCGAGCGGTCTCTGAAGATAATACAATCAAATATTAATTTTTCATAGAAAATAGAAATTTTTTAAAATTAAGTGTTGATTTGTTGGCGAATCACATTTGCTTTAATTGTAAAGTTTTAAAAGTTGGCATTTATTTAATTGCATTCATAATAAATTCTGTTGTATTTATTATAAGGCATTAATTAATTCTGAAAGTGTTTTATTATTGCGGGGGAAATATGCATAATAAATGATATTGTTATACTTGTTTGTGTGGGTAAACCATAATATGACATTTAATGCATTGTTGGCCACAATTGGCCCAACTATTGCCAGACATCCACTTTCTTTTACATTTAGAGCACTTGTATTCACCGAAACAACGCTTTCTTCCCTGATATGGAGTCAAACCTACAATAATTAAATAATCCATTGATATATAATATATATTACAAATTATAAATATTATTTTTATCAGCTCTTCACTCAATTTTTACAGTAAATTATTATTTTTCAATTAATTATATTTTAAAAATTAAAATACAATACCTTAACGATCTTCCATTGCGTTATTTAATAATTTCAATATATGGAGAGATTAATTTAATTTTACATTATTTGTAAAAAATTAATAATGTAATATTTATTTATCTCATTGAATAAGTTTTGCTACATAAATTAATAAATTGGAAAATGTTTAAATGTATTATTACATTCATATATTAACCATAAATTTAAAGTTTATTCTAGCATAAGTTTTTATACAATTTAGGTCTAAAGATTAGAGAATAAAAAGTTAAATATAACTGTTTTGTATTACAATTTAAACTTCCATTGAAATAATCAATCAGATCTGACAAAACAAATAGCGCTTAATTGTTGTTTGATATTAAATCCGTTATAAGTTTAGTGATGTTGTGCTGAATAAAGTGTAACTCTTTTGCAACAATTTTGTTAATTATTCTATTAATAGTATTAAGACTCGAGTCTTATAAGAAACAAAATATCTTACAATTTGTAACAATATCTCAAAAGAATGTCATTCTATGGGAACTATAAGTACTGAAACTATTCTTATAATAAACGGCAAACAAATACGATATTTAGTATATTTGTTGTATTCATATATTTATATTAACAGGTGATTGAAAATTAATTAAAATGTAATGTAATATAAATAATAAGACATTAATTTTAGTAAAGTTGCAAAAAATTCAAGGAATTAATATTTTTGGGAATTTGCTTATCTTTTAAATATTTTTCACATTCAAAATATTTCATTTAGAGTATGAATGATATGGCATTCAAATTGACAAAAACTTTTGCATTTCTGAGACATACCTTCTTTTTGCAAAGAGTTTGTGTTTGTATTAACTGTTGGTATCTTTTCATTTTGATTTACGGCTCCGATTTGATTAAATTGTGACAAATATTGAGGTAAACACAATTGCTGTTGACTTTTACTATTGTCTACATAATTAGTTGACAAACAATTGAAAGAATTGCACAGGTTTTCTATCACCGATTGATAGCATTGATAATTCTATGGCATAAAAAAGAAATTGTGTTAATAATGAGTTTAAATTTTTAAAAATAGGAAATGTTATACAAAAGACATGATTATAAATCAATGATCAAAACATATAGAAAAGATCGTTAATTACTCACATCATTGGCTAAAAGTGTTGGATTTGTGTAAAACATTTGATTTATTGGATTATAATTCGTCGACTCTTCTATAGAGAACATTGCATTTGCTTTTATTTTTTCGTTCACTTCTTTTGCCGGAGACTCTCAACCAAACGGTTAGGAAATGAAAAATCATATGAAATGTGTTTTACTGACGATATTTAAGTTATTTTTAGTGATAGTGTCGCACAAATTATTTGTTCCTTTCCTTGAATATAAGCCAAGTTTAATGCATTTTGAATTCACACCATTGATACACACCTTTGTCTTCACAATACTATAGTTTTTTGCCAGTTCTGGCTCTTAAGGGCTTCTTCTCAAACACTTTTTTTATAATGCCTTTAAATGTCTATTTTTAAATACAATTCAACCCCTTTTTATTGTACAAATATCTAGTTTTTTATGTTATAATTCTACTTATAAAACTACTTTAAATTTTTGTAACCAACATGTTTTTATGATCTCTAATTAAAATAATTAGCATTTTTCACTTATTTTGATAGTTTATTTTATACAACAATAGGACCACAAACTTGTAATAAAATGTAAAAAAATAATGAAGTTTTCGCATCACTTTGTCTTTATTGGTGGCGTATATTGAGTACCACTTTATCTGTGCTTTACATCACTTTTCACTTCTTATAACTTTTTTCATTAAAACTCTTATTAAAAATGGCAAATATTTTGAAGTGTGTTATAGTTTTCAATCACAGAATATTCTTGATATTCTCCACATTTCTTTTCATCCCATAAGACTATCCATCTATTTATTTATTAATTTTTCATAAAAGTTTGCATAAAATATAATTTATTACTTGAGTAATAACTAAAATTAAAACAAACTTCTAATTTTAAAGATTTATTAAAATTGTCTGAAATTCATATAATTTATCAAATTTTTCATAAATTATGCTAAAAATAATTTCTAAAATTATAAGAATATTTAAGTAATACTATTTATGAATGAATTGTATGACAAACACTACAGTAATCATAAGAAGATTAAAATGGATTATCAATTGCGATAAGTTTTAGTGAATGATAGCTTGTTTTGTAACCCAGTCTTATAACGTACTGCATCTGTCTTACACTATATTCCACTATTATATCAATTCAAATGTAAATTTCACTCATTTAATACAAAAATGTAAAAAAAATAAAATTATATATAGAATTGCATTCTTATTCTTTAATTATAGTTTTGACTTCAAAACAATTTCTATTAGGAATAATGAATATAAAAATATTCAAAACACAGCCCTTAGGAATATTCTTGATTCAACTGGCGATCCATGTGTTAAGTCATATGAATTAAAATTGTATTGAAAATGCATTAATATTAGGCATCGAATCAAACGCTGTGTATATTATATGCAACAGAATTGAGAGAATGTGTGAAACGATAACAGAATTGTGCAGTAATTGTGTGGCAATGAGTGATGTGTTGAACACAACGAGTGCTGCCATTCAGTGACCCAACGATTAACTAACCATTCATTCAATGAATTCACACTTTTTTCTTTCAATGTTTTGTTTGAAAAACTTGTGATTCAAGTGATTGTCACCGAAAGACACAACTGAAGACACCATTGAATATATCATCTCTAATATCACACACATATCACTCACACGATGTCCTCTTTGACCACATTCTTCGGCGAAGTGAATGAATTGAATTCCCGAGCGATCTATTGGTCGGACAACGAATCGGATGACGAGTCGGCGGCGAACGAGACCACAGACATCACCAGCGGATCCAATGTATTGCTGACACTCAATGATACTTTGAATCCCAAGACGAATATAGTTTACGTGAGTTTAGCCAAAAGCGATAAAACAGTTGTCAAAGAGTTATCACAATTGGGAAGCGTTGCCATCGATGGCGCGACCGGCAAAGTGGCCGACATTTACGCCACCGATAAGACATCGATTTGGATTCAATTGTACGCCAATCACCACAATCTGAAGAGTCATCTGTTGGTGACAACCATCGCGAGTATTATGAGACAAACGCTGAGCAAATTGGACGCCAGTATTGAGCCATTGGTTTGCATTGTATGCAAAGAGTTGTCGAAAGACAGTTCCAGCGAAGACGCCATCACTTACTTGACGACAAGAGACACCAATTTAAGTATAATTCCTCAACAATTGACTCGAAGAGCACTATTGGCGCCCAAAATGCTGGACAATATGGTTGAGAGCAGTGTCTTTGAGTACTGCATAGTCTTCGGCCACTCCTGTATTGCTCTCATATTCCCTGAATTGCAATCAAAAGCATTTATTTCACGCTTTATTCCCAAACCGATCACCGATTCTGTCCATCAATTCAACCAACTCTTTGACAATAATATTTACCTTTGAATTGTATTTATAGAAAACAAATAAAATATTTTACAATTTGTTTCATTTAATCGTTTAATGCATTTATTTTTGATACTTTGAAAATAGTTATCTAAACGTTAATTAAAGCACAATATGTTTTAAATGTGCAAATGTTTGCTATAATACACTGAAACGTATATTTTATATTGTGATGAATGAGTGGATGTCATATCAAACAATTCTTCAGCCAATTTGCCAATTCTTTAGCTCTAATACATATTAGTATTCTCTTTATTCTTGAAATAAAAATAATTTTTGGTTTAATTTTAGATCAAAACTTTGTCACAATTAGAAATAATCTTTATTTTCCGTTTAGGGGTGATTCACGTAGTACGATCGCACTTTTAAATAATATAGATCCCATATATTAGTAATATTGTTCGCATGTAGTCATTAGATAAAAATTACGCTCGCATGTCCTTATTAGCCCTCAGCTCTAAAAAATTAAATACTTCCTAAATTTACAAATATTTGAATTAAAATTAAATCAATCGATCTAATATTGGCCGCATTGCTGACCCCCTTCCGATCAGTCGCCGTCCAGGCCTTAATGAAGGGCTCGTTTGATGGCTTTGAGTTTGACAACAATTAATTTAAACAATAAAATAATGATTTAAATGAATATTTTAGAAAATTACTTTCACTCTTAAAATATTTCAAAAACTAGAAATAAACTATTTCTATTCTAAAGTCATATATTTATTTAACATTCTGTTAACAAAAGATTAACTTTGATAACATATTAATCCCTTAAATTATTTTAATGCGAACGTACATAAGTTTCTATAGCCCCCTCCCACTCATTTGCAAAAGTTCGCTTGTGAAACACCCCGTCCCCCAAGTGCGAACGTACTTTGTGAACCACCTTTTATGAATATGTTCTACACTTAATATATTTTTAATAGTATTTTGTATTTCGATTTAGAAGTGATTCCTCTGAGGAAACGCCTAAAGTATTGGTGTTCAATCTTTTTTAGTATATCACAGGTACAGATTCACAGTATGCCATAAAACGGTTCAATATATATACTATTCATATAAACCTTTATAAAATTTGCATTTTATAAATTTTATACCTTCTGTGTATAATATGTTCATTCATTTGAATGATTAATAATTTTTAATCTAAACTTTTAAAAATAATTTTAATGTTGTGTATGACAATTGGCTTTTCTACTCCAAGTCTCTAATAGAGACTTGATTGAACAAGAGTATTTGCAAAAGAGTTACACTTTATTCAGCACAACATCACTAAACTTATAACGGATTTAATATCAAACAACAATTAAGCGCTATTTGTTTTGTCAGATCTGATTGATTATTTCAATGGAAGTTTAAATTGCAATACAAAACAGTTATATTTAACTTTTTATTCTCTAATCATTAGACTTAAATTGTATAAAAACTTATGCTAACTTATGTTAAAATAAACTTTAAATTTATGGTTAATATATGAATGTAAGAATATATTTAAACATTCTCCAATATATTAATTTATATAGCAAAACTTATTTAATAAGATAAATAAATATTACATTATTATTATTTTTCACAAATAATGTAAAATTAAATTAATCTCTCCATATATTGAAATTATTAAATAATTCAATGGAAGATCGTTAAGGTATTGTATTTTAATTTTAAGAATATAATTAATTGAAAAATAATAATTTGCTGTAAAAATTGAGTAAAGTAAAAATAATATTTCTAATTTGTAATATATATTATATCAATGGATTACTTAATTATTGTAGGTTTGACTCCATATCAGGGAAGAAAGCGTTGTTTCGGTGAATACAAGTGCTCTAAATGTAAAAGAAAGTGGATGTCTGGCAATAGTTGGGCCAATTGTGGCCAACAATGCATTA